ATTCTCTCCCTTCCCTAGTGATTGAAGATTGAAATCCAGTTTTCCCTCTTCGCCTACACATCTATACTTCTCACCCAGCCACCATCCATCTCCAACTCTGATTACTGAAACCTCTTCCCTGTACATACCTCTCCAGCACATGCAACACATAACCGTCTGCAATTGCCTTTCTTGTCCTACCTCCTTCTGTCCATATGGGTGTCTAAAAACTATGAATGGATTCTTCTCTCTTTCCACCTTCAGACAGTGCTTCTCCCTGTTTATCCATTCACTGACCCTTAAAGCACCATCACTCCTTCTGTGACACCCATGAAAAACATTTCTGCCCACTTGCCTCAGATGTGCTTCTGTACCTCCTCCTATCCCACCTCTATTTCTCGCTTCATCCATGATAGGAAATACACCATTCTCCCCACAGGATTCCTCTAAAACAATTTATCTGAAGACTGAAGGTCCAGAAAGCTTTAGAACTTATGCAAATACAATGCAATGCCCGTCTTTGATGTCTGTGTACTGCCCTATTTGCATATTCTGCCTTTTAATGTTTTCAGGAAAAAAGTGACTTCTAGTTTCCAATCCTGCTCCCTTATTACGATGTGAGGTACACTACAACACTGCCAGGATGGTTACAGAGAAATGTCAACCGAACAGTGCTACCAGACACTGGGACATCTTTATTTCTGATGACACTGGGGAAAACAGCCCAACTGGAACTACACACTCCACACTCGGATTTATGATTTAGGTATATTACTGCTAGCAACCTAGTGGAATCTCTTCAATCAGAACCTGTAGCCACAAGGAAAAGAAGAGGCAGGAGGACCTATTCTGTGGTGAAAGGAGGAATAATTGGCTCATACAATTCAAAGAAAACATGGTTACCTTCTCCACAGGTTAATTAGACAGTGCAGTAGAGGAGCCTTGAGCCCCCTAGTTCCTTGCCAGGAACAGTCTTAGGTTCTCTAATTCCTCCTAGTCAAAGCTTAGGTTTTGACCACATGAAGTGCCTACCCTGCCAGAGCTGCCCCTCCCCCTGCCACCAACCCCAGCTGAGTGGAGAAGTGCTTCCCAGCTGCAGGGGGGCAGAGAGGGTCATTAGGCACTCTGCCCCACTGCACTTCAGCACCTGCATGTCATCTCAGAGGAAGTGGGCAGGCAATGCACTGCTCAAGGAGCCCTCTCAGTCCCCGTGTGCATGGTTTGGCTGCTGTACTATGAGGCTGATGCAGCCCAGATGAAATCAGAGAGATTACAGGGTGAAGGCAGACAGTTTCATCCCAAAGCCTACATCAATCCCTCTGGATTCCTAGGAAAGTGAAAAATCCCTAGAAGTCTTCAATGAACACAGAAAAGTTGGAATAAACCCTCCTGCCTTAACAACTTCAAGACATCAGTACAGGGCTTGGCAGGATGCTCTTCACCATTACAAACAACCGTGCAGTCCCCTCGGGATGTGCTATGTCTCTGAGAAGAAGTGATTACATAGCTAAGACTTTGGTGGGAAAAAAGAGCCTTGCCCTACCAGAAAGCATAAACTGAAAAGAACACTATTTGCTACTATGGTCTAGCCTACTCCTTTTTCCAACTTTCTTCGCCTGCAATATTTTTCTTAAAAACTCAAGCTACTCCAGTTCTGGCTGATGAGAAAATAAGCATCCTTCTTGGCTTCACAGGAAGATTTTAAAACATAACTGATAGGGACAGACTTGTGAAATTCACTGCCATGCAACACACAGCGCCCAGTGAGGTTCCCTGTAGCCAGTTCTGGAACCAGAAATGTTACAGGCACACAAGCGCTGCACTAACCCAGTTCTGCCTCTTCAAGGATCAAAGCTGGCTGCCGCAGGGGGACATGCTGATCCCCACAGGCATTCTGGTTTTCTCAAGCCAGCTGAGGCTTCTTTCATGCCGTACGGTATCACATTGCACAGATATGCCCTGGCATTTCAGAAGCAAACAAGGAAAACTCAAAAGAACCATCCCCTAATTCTGGGTGGATCTGAGGTTGATCCTGCTACCTTTGCCATCAGTATTTTCATCCCTCACAAAGCAAAGAAGAGGAAACCAACTCGGGGAGGCATTTCACAGGCCAAACCATCTTCTGCTCAACTCATCCAAAGCTCCACTTAATGAAAGCACTGTCTGCTTTGAAGTCTGAGAATAACTCACTGCATGCACAATGAGAACCCTTCTCCACCTATACAGGCTGTCCATTCTGTTCAGATCCTGCTCCACGTAGCTGTCTGTGTTAAGGATGAATTTCTGGATTTTGTCAGGATTCTGACAGTGGTCTAGGGCTGTTCTTTCTCCATGAAGTGCAGCTCCCAGCCACCTCCACTTACCAAAATTAGAACTGAGGAAAAGCACAACACTCAACTTCCTTACACTTCCTAGTGAAACCTGCAATAAACCCATCCTTTTGGCCTAAGGGGTCTGGAAGAACAACGGACTGGACATGTAATTAATAACAAGGCTTTCCTTTTGAAATATTACATTTTCTCCATTTATCCCATTTTCAGGTGTCTCCCTGCGACAACCCTCCACTACAGTTAGGTTTGGTGAATAGTGTACACTGTATTCATCCTCAGAGGACAGGCAATGCTCATTTGGGGCACATTTTCACAGCAGCTGAAAGCATTATTAGGCCACTACTAAAAGCAGTTGCTATTAAGCAGACTATAGCTCAAACCCAGCCAGCACCAGCCTGCCTTTAAGTCTAGACAGCTGCTCATACACTTCTCCTGTCACTGCCTAGTCAAGATTACAAAGCACATTCTTATTATCTGTTTTCTCCCTCTTCCTCTCATTCTTAAGTGGTTGCTTGGGTTTTTCTTCTCACAGAGCATTATGAGCCTGGGACCACTATGTAAGTGGCTGTTAGCACACTGTGCAAGCTAATAGAATACAAATGATTATATAAATAATAAAACTGCTGAAGATTTTCTTGTCACTGCTTTCTCTGCTTCATTGGCTTGACTTAAAGCACACATAAAAATGGCCTCTGCTAAGTGTTATGTTCATAGCATCTATAAATAAAATTAAGATCCTGATTTAGAGAGACACTAAGAGGCTGTATCTCCTCGTGTTTTCAATCAAACTGGGATGCTCAGTGCCGATGAAGATCAGGCCCAAGGCTCTATAGTTGAAAACAGAAGGATTTGATATCTGTATGACAGTTTGTATTCAGTAGGGCAGTTTCATTTCCTGTGTAACATATTCACGTGCTCTTTGCCAGCATATGTGCATCCCCTTAACTAATCCACAGGTCAGGCAGGAGAGCAGCTCCAGACTCTGACAGCCATCACTCGCATCAAAGGACTGGCACATAACATACAGCCCCTGACACCACGAGTCGAGCATCTGTAGGATGGTAACTCGCCAGGCAGTTACAGCTGCAGAACAGCATTGACCTCAGCACTGCTGTTTCCAGGGCGCCTGTACAAAAACTCAGCTCTGTCTTTCCTCTGGTATTAAATGTTCATACAACGAGGCTATTGTTACAAACCTCCTGGATGCAAAAAAAATGACACCCACCAAGCCAGACCCTGTGAAAAACAGTATTAGTAGAACCACAACATTATGGAGAAAACCTGCAAGAAACTCTTATTCCAGACTAGCTAGGAATCTGACTGACAGAAAACTTAAGGCAGTTTTTCAGCAAGCTTTCTATAAAACATTTTGGGGGTGTCAATATGTATATCACCACTAATGACAGTGATCATCACAAGTTGTTTTAGAAGAGTTAGGAAATACAAAAGCTGACTGCAGAGCAAAATGCCCCAATAATAACTGCACCACGTGTCAGATTTGGGAAGAGTTTTCATGGGATTTGTTTATTAATTTTATTTTCAAGGAACACTAGTCTATTATTCTGGTTCCTGCTGCTAACCAAGAATTCCAATCTGTTATCTGTGTATGGATTTTCTCAAAATTATGTATTAACTACATAGAATCACAGAATGGTTTGGGTTGGAAGGGACCTTAAAGATCATCTAGTTCCACCCCCCCTGCCATGGGCAGGGACATCTTCCACTAGACCAGGTTGCTCAAAGCCGCATCCAGCCTGGCCTTGAACGCTTCCAGGGATGGGGCATCCACAGCTTCTCTGGGCAACCTGTTCCAGTGCTTCACCACCCTCTCCAAGAACAACTTCTTCCTGATGTCCAATCTAAATCTGCCCTCTGTCAGTTTAAACCCATTAACCCTTGTCCTGTCACTACAGGCCCTTGTAAAAAGTCCCCCCCAGCTTCCTTGTAGCTCCCTTCAGGTACTGGAAGGTGCTATAAGGGCTCCCCGGAGCCTTCTCTTCCCCAGGCTGAACAAGCCCAATTCTCTCAGCCTGTCCCCATAGGAGAGGTGCTCCAGCCATCTAGCTCTTCTGGACCAATACAGCAGTGTTCTGGTACATGGGCTTGCCAATGCAGCACACTTCGAGTATAGACACTGCATTACTGTCACATTCTTCTCACCCAATTTGTACATCTATTTTATGCTACCCTCAACTTATTTTTCCAGCTGATTCTACCTCTGTATCTTCTAGGTAAAATGACAGTTGCCTATATTCCCTGGTGAAACCCAGAACCTTAAAAAGACCCTAAACATGTTTCTGATCATGACTATTTTTTTTAACCCTAAAACACAACTTAGTAATCAAGAGCCATTTATCTCTTTTTTAAAAGACTATTGCCTCAGTGCCTAAAAGATTGCAATGCTTCCCTCTAAACGGCTAACAGCCGACGGAAGGCACTTGTCCCACTATGATGGGTGTGTTTTCTGTAGTCCAAGCACTAGAAGTCTGATTCTGACCACAAGCTCATGGGTGAAGCGGCTGATTCCTTCTGTCTGTCTGAACATCACATTTATCCTTACAGAGCTGTTGCAGTATCGGTGTAAAATTCAGCATCAGGAAAAGACACTGAGCTTGTTAATGAAAGGCAGGAGAAGAGCAATGACTTGATAAACCAAAAGCACAGAAAGAAAAATTAATCTGAAATAGTTACCTCTTTGAGGCAGCCCATGAAGTTGTTGCTTACTGGAGAGCCAGGTAAATCAGCAGTACTGGGGCTCCCTCCCACGTAAAAGAAGTCATCCGAGCCCAGCATGGTGTAGTCCTCTTGTGTGTAGCCCGTGGTGGTAAGGATTCCATCCACAGAGATTGTCACCTGTTCGAGGGACACAACGGACAAAAAAAAAAAATCCCAGCAATGACCTTACAATCCTGAACAGAACAAGTTACCTCCCCTACGTTTTTATGTCAGTTTTATTAAGGATTTTGTTGAGATTTGGTATGTATTTTTTTTAGTTCAGCCAAGCTCCATTTTCTGGTCTGCTTCACCCACAATGGAAATGCTCCAGCATCTGCTTCTCCCCTTTCTGGTGTATCAGAACCGTCAGGCTGACCCTGCAGTCTACCCACTGAGCTACTTTCCACCTAATTCAGGCCAGAAAATGGAACTATCCTTGAAAGAGATTTCTCGTATTAGCTGATTTATGATTATTAGTATTTATTTTAATGATTACAGTTAGTTATGGTTGTTAGTAAAAAAAAAAAAGCACTAATGAAGACGAGGTTGGTATTTTTTATGTTTCATTTGCCCACGGCACACTGACGATCATGCATTCAGGGAGGGGGGAAAGGGATCTCACTTTCAATACATTATGGATGTGCATGCCATGTACCTAGGGACACACACCCACCACCCACCACTAAGAAAAAATAAATTTACAAACTAACTCATAAGCCAAATAGAAATAGGAAAGAAATCAAAATAAAATAAAACTAAATAAATCAACCACACACCAACAAGTGTGAGAGAAGCAGAGATGAGAAAGAAAAACACACAAAGCGTGCGCACGCTGCACTTTGACATGTCATGCCAATATATCTGGAGCCCAGAAAGATGACAGGAAAAAAGTAAAGAGAGAGAGAGAAGGAAAGAGAGAAAACTATTTCACACTTGCATGCAATCAAAAATAAAAATACCAAACAAACCCCATAATAATAAACAAACTCAAAACCAAACAGAAACATCCCCAGAAACTCTAACCCCAAACACATGGAGGGTGAAAGGGGACGGAAGGAGAGGGAGGGAGAGGAGCAAGTGAGTTTGATGTATTTGCTTAGATGTTGTTAGTGGTTTAAAGGGAGGATGGAGGAAACGGATCGAGGCCAGGAGGAGATGGGCAAGTCACCAGACGTGGACATGCCATGCAGAGTGTGTACTGAAACAAACAACTGGCTGAGCTCCTGTTGGCCACGGCAGGTAGAGGTCAGAGAGAGAAAGTGAGAGAGAGAGCAAGAGGGAGGAGGAGGAGAGAAAAAGGAGGGAGGGACGTGGGGGAAAATTAGGAGAAAGAGGACAACTCCGGCCAGTTTGCCTGTAACAGCCGTTGCCACAACAAAAGGATGAGAGAAAAAGAGAGCCTTCACCACCACGGACTAGAGGCCCTGCAATGGTTCTGATCTAGAAACCTTCAGAGTAAAAAACAAAAACCAAAAGAGGAGAAAAAAGCAAAACAAAAGCCAAAGCAAAAAATGGAAAGCTAAACTCAAAAGCAAGGGGAAAAACCCAACAATTTATCACTGGAACAGAAAAAAAGAACTAAAGAGGGAAGTGAAGAAACCAATGAAAGAAACGTCCAAACCCCGTTTCCAGAAGAGTTGTGTTAGTAGCTTTGGTTGCTCATTTTTTCCATTAAAAAAGGGAAAAAAAAAAATTAAAAAAAAAGAAAAAATGTGTCTTCAATGAAATTAAATTAAAGGAAGAAGTATAAAGGAGGGGGGGAAAAAGAGAGGGTAGGGGGAGGAAAAGGCAGGTAACACACGGCAAACCCAAAAAAAGAGACAATAAGAATGATATCTACCAGACAATGTAGTTTGTTTACCATAGCGTGTCCAATGCCTGAGTGCTTTGCGGAAAAGGGGGAAGAAAGGAAATTAAAAAATCGTGAACAGAACGATTGTTAATTAAAATAACTAAAAGCAAAGATGAGTCGTTAGGGTGTTAGTACATTAGTTGGTTAGTAAAAATGACACATTGCATGAATGGTCTAGTGTTAGTCTTTCAAAAAAAGGCGTGGGGCGCCTGACAGACACAAAGTGAGAAAGAGGACAATATGACCAGGACTCTATGGGGAACCATGCCATCTCGACTGTAAAGAAGGGTGCTGCCTAGTCTTCCCACCCTGGTATTAGTCTTAAACTTCAACCCTCATATACATTATCCAGGACTAAAACAGTGCAATACTTACTCTCCGAATGCCCATCAAGGTGCTTCCCCCAAACAAGAACCTTACCCTCAGGGATGTACCTGCACAGTACACAGTTCGCCCCTTCAGCACAAACCCGAACATGATTTCCTTCTACCCAGCATCATACTCTACATTCCTGCCCTCAAGTGTTGCAGAGCATCACTAGCAGGCCAATATTCCCTTTGGCTGGAGGACGCAGACATGTTAAACATGAGTCCAAGACTCTGAGTCTTTCTTCCCAGTTTCCCCATCTGCAGGTGAGTCTGTGACTTTCAGGAGAAGCACATAAAAATGCCCATGCTTGGCTGTTTGGCTGAGGCTCACTTACGTCATCTGAGAGTACAGGAGTTGAACCCTCCTACTGTAGGGAGAAATGCATTGAGGACTTGTGTAGGAAGACTTGTGTTGCTTGCATCAAGGCTGAAGACTGAAGATTGACAAGATTTAGTGTCTCTCCTGTTATACTGCATCTGTATCACAGAGGAGCTAGGAGAATTCACCACTCGGTTCACTTGGTTGGGTTTAGCAGAGCTTTGGAGATGCTCTGTTAACCCCTCCCAAGGCATGCACAAGCCAGCTGTTAAAACCTACACGGTTTCTTGTTTGCTCCTCAGCACCTGGGGAGCTCAAGGTCTTTAGAGCAGATTCTGAAGGGTGACTAGCTTCAGTGTTACCAGGGAAGTGCAGCCCATGGAGGCTCCAAGTCCTTGTTCCAGCGTGACTGAAGCTGGCAAGAACTGTCCTAAATTACACAACAAGATCTATGCTGCCTCATGTAAAACTATCTGCTTGCAAATTTCAGAGTTGTGCACTGACTAAGGAAACACGTTTGTAAAAACTCCGTGTCGCTGAACATGATGTCGCAGGGTCATTTTATTTGTCTATGGGAATAAGGTAATAATATTCTGTACCTGGGTATAAAAAGCACAAACTCATCTGAATTCTTCCTCAAGGAAGACTCACTCTCAATGACATGTTGTGTTAGCAAATCAATTTTTACAAAGAAAGAAGTTGGTACAGGGGGGAGAAGCCTGCTAAAAATGAGACTGAGTATCAGCAGTAGACCTGAAGACAGACATGGCGAGTCTGACCTTCAGTCTCCTTCACTCCTCCTCCTCCCACCAGACCACACTGCCCCCCAACATGCTCTGGAAGCCCTGGTAAAATACAGCCACAATCCTATTTCTGGTAAAGGTTTCTCACAAGGCAGAAAGGGCTTAGTTTTAAATGAAATAATAAGATAAGTAAACAAGGAGATTTGCTTTGACATTAACAATCCCTACTCAAGGGAATCCGTGGGTTCACTTCATTTGTCTCTAAGGAGATTAACTGCTGTGATAGTCATTTGATTTAGAAAGAAGTAGCACTTAGTGCTCTCCTAGGTTTGCTACAAAGCGCTCAACAATCCAAAAAGAACTGGGCAAAAGTCCAGCTATTTAAAGTTCTGCTCTAATTATAGGAACAACCAAAAAATTATGCAAATGCTCCTCACACTTATCCCACCCCAAAAAGTGCAGAGGAAAGGACCAGTTGGCATCCTGAAGTTCCTGATAGCCCATTTACCTGGAATTATTTTAGCTTTGGATCATATTCTTGGAATTCCTATAAGTTTTAGGGGTTTTCTTAACAGTGTTTTCAACCAACTGTGAAGGGGCTTACTGTTTTCTTATAAAGGCTCAATATTCAGAGGAATGTTTTTTGTTCGTTGGGTTTGTTTTGGTTGGGTGGGTGGGTTTTTTTGTTTTTGTGGGGTTTTTTGGTTTTTTTTGGATGGGTGAAGCTGGAAACAAGACTTCCATGTGATCTATATTATACTTCAAGATTACAGGTTAATTTATGTCAGGAAGGATGCATAGTAGATATTTTCGTACATACAAAATCATTGAGGATATACAAAATTATATTAGATGCAATAAAAGACAAAATGTATAATTTTATAAGCAGTAAATAATCTGTCCTTTATTACATCTTCAATATGAAGATATCAAAGGACTTCACAGATTCATAGCCTATCTGAAAAATGGTTAAGTATTTTACAGATAGAGAAACTCTCTTATGCCCACGCACACACAAAACCAGGATACAAACCACCTGGAAGTTGCTGTCCAAATGGAGGAAAAGTACACACAACTACCACTCCTTTACCCAGTGCTTTATTTAGAAAGGTGTCCTTATCTTTTTTGTTTGTTTGTTAAATGAAGCATTCTTAAGATCAAGATATAGACTGTCCATGCTCAGCTGTGTCCTAAAAATGTCCATAGCAGGGATTAATTAGTTATCAGTCATTCAAGTTTTGAAACTCTCTCCCCTGAAGATTGAATGGGTTTAAGACTCCTCCTTCCCTAGTAATGTCAATTAAATTAAAAATGCATGAGGTGTGCTAAGGAGGGTGCAAGCTGCTTCAAGGTTTCTTTTTATTGAAAACTGTCATTAAACTTATCAACAATTTTTAGATAGCAACTTTCAGAACCAGCAAGATTGCATCTCCTCGAGGCCTCACCAGTTCCAATTTCTGAGGACTTTCAGGTTCTGGGTCAATGTCTTAATTTTGAGACTGAACTTGATCAGAAGTCAAAAGGAAAGCATCCAAGGAGCAGGTTACTCAGAAGAATTCTGTTCTTATTGATATTCATTGGTTAAACCTCATTCTGTCATTCCTATTTATAGAACTGGACCCCAAATCACATCTGCTACCGATTTTTAATTTGATTTTAAGACTGGCCTTTCTTTGAAAGAGCACAGCCATCTCATGTAAACATCCTCTTTCTTGCCAAGTCAAGTTGGACCATTTAAAAAAATCAGGATCACCTGAAAAAATCCATAATGAGTACATCAGGAGGATTAAAAATTTGTGCTGCTGCTTAACTGGGAAGGGACTCACCTGCTTTCTAAGACTTGCCAAAACACTGTCCTGGTCTAATCAAAGACAAAGATGTATAGACATATTTCCATTTAAACGTGGACCCAGAAAGTAAATTAAACATCACTAGCTGAAAGATTAGGAAAAGAAAGCAAGAGCTTCCTATCCACAGTTTCATCTGTGACTCTCGCCTTCTGTTTCTTCCAGATCCAAACCTTTCTTGGCACGAAGCAAGGATGCATTTTGCTTCAGGCACATTTTCCCATTGAAAACCCATTTCTGATGAAAATAAAAAGTATGATTAACTAAAATGACCAGTAAGCTGTACTGAGACATTCAGAGACCAGGCATTCTGAAACCATCGCATCAAGTAAAGCTATATATTATGACTCTTCCAGACTGACAAACCTCAACCAGTTGGTGCATCTCCCTCTACGGGACTGATGGGAACACCTGAATGAAATAAGTTCATTAAGATCCACCCACTGCACAAGAAATTGAATTTTCATCTGTATATAGACTAGTGAAAACAGAGTCATGTTGCTGTAAGAACGAACCCTGCAGCCTCATGTAAGTTTGATGACAAATCTGTCATCAAAGACTCAGACTTACTGAGCATGTGGAAATACAGGAATTCACATGCGAAAGACAAATAGGTATCTTCAGCCCCAAACCTAAATATTTAAAAGGTGTGAAAGCCCCATAATATATAAATTATCCACTGACATCTACTAAAGACTGTTTCTAATCCCAGGCACTGATTATCCTAAACTCACACATACATTTTATCTTAGCTACTGTAAAATGTTACCCCAAAAGCTGTTTTCTCAGCAAATGATACTGTATAAACTTAAATAAAACTAATAAGTGCTGTGTTAATATTGACATTAATGAGCAAACAAACCAATCATTGTTTTTACAAATTGATTTTAAAATCTTTGTTTACAAGCTCTTTCTTCTGCCCCTACCAATCAGAAAGACACCAAATAGCTCTTATTCACAGTGCCAACCTCATTTATCATGCAGTGGATGGGCCTTAGTGGCTTGATATATTCACCATCTTTCAGAGCAAGGTTATGTAATTTTATCTTATCTATTTATGTCTTAATTTGTATTTCATGAGGAAGACTTCAGGATCTTAACACTAACCTACTACCAAATACATCACCTGATAGAGTTGTCTGCTTAGAAAAGCAGCCTGCAGATGTGCAAAATAACAGTGGTAAAATCAGAAAAACTTTTCCAAAGTGGAATTGTAGGGTTGGATTGACCTGGGTTTGCTTGGCTTTTTTGATCCTTCCACTTTTCCAGTCCTCAGAGTCAACAGAAGAGTCTCATAGGTAGAGACACAAGAAATAAAGTAGAATCTCATTATAGAAAGAAGGGGGAGAAATCAAAAAGAAGAAAAGAAGAACAGAGAATCAAGAAGACTCGGAAAGACTCCAGCCAATTAATTCTAAAGCTATAAATTTAAAATAATTACACACATACCCACCAGCCTGCGTACCTGCACAATCACATGCACACACAAAAGAAAAGAAAAAGTAAAGGTAAAAACAAAAGAATTCCAGAATTAGAATTATGACATCATGGCAATGGTTAAATCAATTAACAAAACTGAAAGGAAAAGGAGAGGTGTAGAATGCTGGCTCTTGGAAAAAGACTCTGTTTTCACAGTAATTAAATGCAACAAGAATATTACTGATAAGATAGAATTATAATTAAGGAAATAACAAAAAATAAAAAGGGAACAGAAGAAGAGAAAAGGAAAAGGGAGATGAAAGTAAAGTTATGTCACAAATTTTTATTATTAAATCAAACTGGGAAAAAAACAGAAAATTAACGAAGTGGAAATGAAGATATCGCAAGAGGGATAAATTCCCATCAACTCTTTTTTTTTTTCCCACTGTCCTTTAGATACCGAGATCCAGAAAAGATGGAGAAACTCTAGCAATTCCATTGAGCATCCCCATATCTCCATTACTGTCTCCCAACTGTCTGTCCCAATAAAACAGAACAAAATTTCACCCAGGATTTTATCCCCTCCACCATTACCTGCCGCAGGTTGCGTGTCACCTTAACGTCGTGCCACGCGTTGTCATTGAACTTGCCATTGACGGGCTCCACAATGGCCTCGAAGGCCCCAGACCCCAGGTTAATGACCAACGAGACCGCACCGTCTTTCAGGGCCAGGTTGACGTAATCAGCTGACTTGCCGGTGTGTAGGATGAGCCCGTTGCGTTGCCACGTCTTGAAGGAGAGAGTGATCTCATCGCTGCTGCTCTGGATGGGATTTTGCGACAGATCATAGCAAAGGTATTCGGAACCACGGAAAGTGGCCATATTCTCATCTCGTGCTGGAAAAAAAGGAAACAGAAGAACAATTCAGCAGTCAGCCAAGAAGAGATTCAAGATCATCATTAAATGGTTGAGCAATCCCACAGCACTGTTAGTGTTCTATACAGCTATATGTCACGGCATGCTAATCCCTGTGCAGCTCCTTTTCTAGTACGGCTATTAAGAGAATTAACGGCAGGGTCCTCGGTACCAAAGAATTTCAGCGCTGAGTTTTCAGTTTCACTGCAGCACTGTCACCATAGGGACTGTTCAAAAATATGCAGTGGAGCCTAGAAAAAGTACATTTGAAGACACTGGTATAAGAAAATTCACATCCTTTTTGGGAGAATGATGGAAAATTCTACTAGTCACAACATGACGATCACATATACGTTGTTCCATAAGAAACCAACATTTCCCAAAGATCAGTATTTAGATTTGTCACTAATGTCATCTGAACTTATCTTAACCCATCTGCCAGGCAATCTAAGACAGGCATCAGAATATAATCCTGACAGAGCTGCCCCTTTCTTTCAACTGAGTGAGAGTCGAAGCAGACAAGAGACCCACATGAAGTGTCTTATAGTTTCCTTCTCTGAGACCACGAGGGAAGTCCACATTCAGCATTTTGTTCACAGAGGTGATGTTGCTGCTAAACACATCTCCATGTTAGCTGTTTGATCACCTTATCCAAAAAATCTGTACTACACAAGTATACCCTTTTCCTATGCAAAAATCAACATGGGGGAGTGACATGAAACATTTCCTTATCAAGAAAATATCCCTCTTACGTACAGTAGGGAAAACCACCAAACTTCTTAGCAACTGGAGAGCAGCATTTGAATACGACAGCAATCCTCCGTGTGAGCTGGAAGTCTGATTCACAGTACCTGGGCTTCCACAGTCACTCAGAGACAGCTCTGCTCCCACACTGCGCTCACATGGCTTGAGCCAGCTCTGTATCCCAGTTTTGCCCAGTGAAAGGAATACAGGCCGGGTGGTGATGGTAAAGCTTGTAGGAGGGCTGTCTGGAGACCATTCCTACCAGTGCAATCTGGAGGAAAATGGTACTTACAAGGGAGTCTACACAGATAGACAGACATTCCCCACTCTGTCTTGTAGCACCTTTCTGACTCCCCCCTGTGAAAGGAAGTCTGAGCATGAACAATAACTTGATGGCCCAAGCAGTCAAGCTATCACTGCTTACAATCCGCCACATAAAGCAAGTGCTGGTGCTATTGCCACTGACATTAACAGCATTTTTCTGGTTCATTTTGTCTCATTTAATAATCCTCTTACAGATTAGCCAGAATTTGTTACTACAAGACTGAAGGCAAAATACTTGTTGTCATAGCCGTTCTTGAAAAACAACTACGTGGTGAAGTCTGTGCCCTCACAGCATGAAACAGTGGTGACAAAACAGCACCGCGTTGCCACATGAACGTACATCATCCTCAAGTGATAGGTCTGCTTTAAGCAGACTTTTGCAGTCTCGACTGAGGGTATCACAGAGTGAACTCATTAAAAAATCTGAGCACTTTGAAGGCAGCAGTAATGTGGTTTTGTGCTTATGAAAGCGCACTGTGTGCCTATCTACCCCTGCGAGCAAACAGTAAGACAAATTACTCCATGCCACGGTACAGGTTGGGAGCCAACTGGCTCAAAAGCAGCTCTACAGAAAAAGACCTGGGGGTCCCAGCAGACAAGCTGAGGATGAGTCAGGCATGCCTGCCCTTTCAGCAAAGGCCAGCCACATCCTGGATTGTGTTGGCAGGAACACAGCCAGCAGGCCAAGGGAAGCTATTCCTCCCGTCATGGACGCTTGCAAGATGACATCTGGAGCACTGTCTCCAGTATTGAGCTCCCCCACGATAAAAATGGCCTCAACATACTGGAGCAAGCCCAGCAAAGAGCTACTACCACGCTCAAGATGCTGGTGTCTGGGGTGGCTGTGAGAGTTGGGCTTGTCTGGCTTCAAGGAGAGAGGGCTCTATGGAAGCCTTATTGCTCTTTTCAACTACTTAGTGGGAGAACATAGAGCAGACAGGGCTAAATTCTTCTCAGAGATGTGCAGAAGGAGGACGAGAGGCACAGACAGCTGAAACACAAGAATTCTCTTTCTATACCAAAAAATGTTTCATCCTGAAGATGGTCAAACACTAGGAAGGGCCTAGAGAAGCTGCAATATCTCCATCCTCAGAAATAATAAAAACTGACTATGCACAGCCCTGAGCAATCTGTTCTAACTGGACCTGCTCTGAGATAGTGGCTGGACTACATGGCCTCTGGAGGTCCCTTCCAAATTACTTGGTTCTGTGATTTTATTCCGAATACATTTAACTAGCATCAAGGAGCGCATATGCTTATGTCGGTGTTCAACCAGCTTAAGCACAGAGGGCTGATCTTGATTGCAGTTCTGGAAGTCAAAGCTGAGCACTTAACAACCCTCTCCACCATGATAATTCCCCTGCCTGATCCACTCGAAGGCAACATGTTACAATCAAGTTGGACACACGCTCTATGTACCCGTGGGTAATGCCGATCAAGCAGCCGGCATCTGAGGGCAGGAGTCAGACACGATCGTGATGACGGAGCCATTTTCCTACAGCCGTGGATGTAGGAAGCACTGAATACACATATGGCATCTTTGGGAAGGGGGGCACAGGGGCTTGACTGTGCACTCAGTACAAGACATATTAATAGGGCTCATCTACACTTTCCCAACCACTTAGACAAAATCTCACTGGTGTTCTCAGTCCAAAGGAGAAGGCAAAGAGTAGATCAGAAATCCAAACGGTAACTTAGGGCAACCACTGTAGACTTACCAAGACAGAACAGAGAATTTAGACAGATTTTACTCTTACTTTTACCACTAGTTTTAATATAAGGTGCTATCAACCCGCCCCTGCATGCAACTACATCATCTGTTTCTTCCAGTCATCTGCTGCTGACCCTTGTCTTAGATAGGATTCTGGACCTGATCCGTCTTTGTATCCCTCCTGTTCTGGGAACAACGTCACCTATTTCTGTTTCAGGTGTTGTCTGGGATTTTTTTGGTGGTTTTGTTTGTTTGGTTTTGGGTTGGTTTTGTTTGTTTGGTTGGTTGTTTTTTCTTTCCTCCTCTTGCTGCTTTGGATATACATTCCAATCTTCAGATCATCACACAGTGAAATCTCTTTGGGGTTCAATGGACAATCCAAATTCACCCCTGTCCACCCCATGTTTCATAAGCACAACTCCCAAGGTCAACATACTCTGTCTGCAACTATATTCTCCAAACCACTAATCCCTTAACAGTTTACTAGTGGCCACGTGGATGACCGGTTTGTCAGTCTCATTAAAGTCTTTAGTGTGCAGATTAGCCTCCAATCACTGAAGAGCTTGACTCTGTGTCCCCCCAAGCTACAACACAGTCACCTGTGTCAGGTCACATGAAAGGCTTCTTACCAAGCACAGCCTTTCCATGCTGGCCTGCCTGTTAGGACGCTCTGACAGATGTGATGGCTACGACCACAAAGCATGTGAGAATCACCAGAGAGCTTGGAGAGGAATAAGGGATACAGATTCTCTCCACAATGTATGATGTAGTAAAGAAAAAGCCCTGAACAGGCTGCAGGTCTAACAGTATTTCCATATGCTTTTAGGCACAGTCTGGTGACATCTGGAATAGCTGAGAGTGGTGAACCCTTATTATTCGTTAGCTGGTGACCCTTGTGCTGTACAGTTCTGAAGGCTCCAGAAATTGCACTGTGATGTTTATGGCTTCTGTATCCTTTAAACAGTGGTAGTGTACTAAGGAGTTTCTACATAGCAACACAACTGACCTAAAATAGCTAAACTTAAGGACCAACTCCAAGTCAACTAGAAATCCTTGGTTTATGTCACACGGAGCAATAGATCAAACCATGCATATAAGTGATACTAATTTGAAGTTATAATCTAGCTGTCCAAGTGTGGCAATGCAACAGCATAAAATAAAGCTTACTTACATCAGCATTTAGAATCAGTTTGGGAACTTAATTTGTACATGATTTGCAAGATTTAATTTTTAACTAAGTTAATAGTAAGATTTAAAAAAATCTAAATCTGTAAGTAGGTTACTTAAAACATGTAAACAGTTGGATCTTCAATTTCACTTGTTAATATTATTCTAAACCCATTATTTATTGTATAACACATTCACATAACTAACTTCTCTAGAACAGCTGGGATTTGCAGAGATCTGAGACATGTACAGAACTCCAGAGATTTAACTCCTGACGTATTCAAAACCTCAGAGAAATCACCGGAGTAGAAGTGAAACTCAGGATCTTCAAAGTGCTCATCACAGACCTTTTCCTTGAACAGTCATTCCTTCACTTCAAGAAGCAGGAGAACGTTATGCTTTTCTGACTAAGCACCAACCGCCACAGCTAGCACATTAAGCACTTGCCATCTCCACCCCCCTGCAAAGCCTGTTTTGCAAGTCTCACTTATACCTGTTCAAAACCCCGAGTCAGCTATCAGAACATACTGCAGACTGATAAGAAGAACAGAAACAAAAGCACAGCCAACAACTACCTGAGCCACGTTCCTGGCTCTTCTCATCCCTGAAGAAACCCCAGAGCTGGCCAAATCTCAGGTTCCCAAGACAAGTAAAGACTAGGCATCTTCCCATGTTGTATATGGCTGTACTAACCATTCAGGAAAGCCAGATGGTAATTTTAATTTCAGTTTTTATGTGCAAAGTTGTTGCTATGTGTTGTGTCAGAACTCTTTCTACAAAGGGCTTCTCAGATATTCAGAATTCACAACATCATTAGGAGCTAGAGAAACATTGGCATTTTGATTTACCTATGAGGAAACCAATGCAGAGACATTTTAATGGATTTACTCAGGACCACCAAGAAAATGAATAGTAGAGGAAGCATTGGAGTTCAGGAGCTCTTAGCTCTCAATCCTGGGCTTATTCTACAAGATCTCATACATCTGGGGAGGAAAACCAACCCCCAGGGTTTTTTTTTTTTGAGTCCTGTCAGGA